AATTTGTTGCAAAAGTTACTTTTGCGCATCACTTTCCATACAATGAAGGAACACGTTCGCATTTGGTTATTATGTATATTTAGCTTTCATCCATTTGTACTGTTTGGGCTGTGTATATTGTATCTATATTTGTTGTATGTGTTGTATAAGTTATGCTAACACCAGGCGGTAAACTTCAAATTATACAATTTTAAACAAATAACTTTGCTAAAACTATTTACAGTAATTGCCTAATGAATGCATGCGAATTTGTTGGAAAATAATTTTCAAAATTGATTTTCTGTATAATTTCATATGATAATCGTTATTTAAAACTAATGCCATTAACTTTTGTACGAGTACAACCATTACATTACAACTTTCCATTGAAGGAATATTTTGTTCAACAAGAGCAAAGTTATTTTGCAACAAAATGCCACAGAAGATATGATTTAAATGTGCTTCTCTCTGTGTAAACACACATATGAAACTTCGATCCATTAAACTTTTAACCCAAACATGCAAACTCATTTATTTCAATATCCAAAGTTTTCGGTATTATGATGCAAGATGTTTGCCGAGAATGTCTATTGCAGCTTATGTGCTTTACTTTTGATTAAGTAAGGTAAAGGATTGTTAAATAGTATGAGTTTTTGATTTTGATTAAAAATTCCTTAATCATCATTTGCAGAAAGAGAACACAGAAAGAACAATCTGAAATTATTTCTAACTCATATCTATTTTCTTAGACAAAATATCTCTATAGTTAAATTCATAGAGAGATAGTTAAAAGAACATTCTGACATAGAAATGCTGCAACAACAATTTTAGTATATAATGATTGATTTAAAACTATTTTGAATTTTTCGTATTGATTATAATGGCAATGGTATTCCTTAATCCAAATTAATTTCAATTTAGTATCTTTTACCAAAGTCATGTATACATAGATGCATACAGATATATTTCACTGCAGAATATATTCCTTTGAGTTTTGAAATTCCCAACATACTCATATATGTGTACATATATATGCAAAATATATCTCTTTCAATTCACAATCTTGTATTCTAGTCATATATATGCACATAAGTCATAAAATAAATGCATTAATTCAATCAATTTTATTGTGTCAAGTAACATTAAATCAAACTTATGAAAAGAATAATGCAGATACATATTACATTTTTTTTGTGTTTGTGTATTTATTTATCAGATCTTGCTATTAGAAACTTAAATTAACTAAGAAATCTCAACTAAAGTATATTATTTACATACTCTATCACTAAACCACGAAAAATGTTCATTGCAAGATAGCTATAGACCTAATAAGATATGTAGATGATCGATATTTATTTAAACTTAATTAGTAAGATTTTATATTTTGCGTCACTTATTCCTTCATTTTTTTAAAATAAATAGATATATAGAAAGAACGGATATTAGACTATCATTATTATCTTAACAAGTAGAGAGAGAAAAATAAATTCAAAAATGAATTCGAAGCAAACTTTTTCTTTTTTTTTAATACATAATTTATTGGATCTCTCCCTAGAAAAATAACAATAGTTTTTTAAATGCCAAAACTAATATATTATATATTTTCCGTAACACAACACACAAAAATATATGGTGTAATCTTTCTGAGATAATATATTATAAGTCATCAGATTTTGTCTGTCCATTATATGTAAAGAAATATTTAAATAAGGGGTACTATATTTTCCATGTTAATTGTAAGCTAACCTAAGATTATTTGAAGACGAACTTATGAACTTAAACTTTTCTCGTTTTAATTTTTTTGGACAGAATTTTAATAATAATTCTCCAGCTAAGTTTTAGGAGTGTGGTTCACAGTTTTATCTGTAATCACATATTATCTTATAGGTCCCTTTGGTCCCTTATAGGTCCCAAATGTTTCTAACTAATTTTTGACTGCAATCTTTGGCTTTCTCTATAATTGAATAACAAGCAGTGCCTCATAGTTTCACATCATTGATTAAAAGTTAAATAAAAACGATTTTATTGTCTAAGCTAGGTTTTGATTTGATAAATATTATTCAGTTTAGCTTCGCAATTTAAAGTTTTACTGACGGATTGGATTCTCCACGTTAATCTCTTATCCAATAATACTTTTAGGTAACTAATACGGTTTTTAGGGAAATATTGTGCTTTTCAATAAGCAGAACCACGCAAACTTTCTTTTTGAGAGCTTCTGCATTATCAGAAAATGTACGAATTGAATGATTACGAATTAGCATATATATATAAAATATAGTAACTCAATTACTTGCAAAATGCAGGAATAATGAAAAATTTTCAGTCAAAAAAATTTTTTTATATCCCAATAAATTTTTTTCCTAACAAACAACTTTTCGAGATATAATAACTACTGATAGGATTATATTAATAAAAATTATATTATTATCCAACATTAAATAAAAAGAAAGTTCTAAGTAGTATTTTATAACTTGCTCTATCATGCTCATTGTTGTCTAATCTGGTCCTTCATCTCGGTTTAGGGATGTTGATGCCTAAACACAATTTTTAAATTTTTTATTAAAAATGGTTTTTAAGTCTTTTATAAAAAATAGTTTTTAAGTTATGTATTAAAAATAGTTTTTAAGCTTCTTATTAAAAACTATAATAGGCTTTTCATTTGTTATATTTTCTTGTAACAAAGTAACATCTTTAAGGTTTCAATATATTTTGCATTTAAAAAACGTTAATATTGATTTTGCTACATACTCTTCTATAATTATGTACTCTAGCAGGCTCCAACATTACACTATCCATCTATTTTAGAGTAATCATAATCAAGTGTTAAATAAATATTGTTTTTCGAAAACTAAAAGATCAGAGTTCATATTTTGGAAATATAAAGCATGAAACTATTACTATATAAAAGTTTAGTATTTTTGCAAAAAAAAAAAATTTTCTGAAAATAGACTAAACTGTTAGTGTACAAATTTGTAAAGTATATATTATACGTTTACTATTTCAAGCCTTTTATCGAACATAGGTATTGAAATAAGGTCTTAAATTTTTCCGAAGCCTGAATTTGTTGATTGGTTTTTAACATCTTTAGTAGTTATTTAATCCAAAGCTATTCTAACTGCACTAACCGATTCTCAGACAAATCCAATCAACTCCTTTTTCTAAAACAACGTACTCAAAAAGAAACCCTATTCTCATCGCAAGATCTTTGCAGACTCCAACTACTGCCGCACTTGCCTATTTAATTTGACTGCATCACTAATGATGCCCTTATGAATAACTGAATAACCCTTATTTTAATTTACTGAATTACAAACATTTTAAATGCTGCATAGCATTTTCAATTAAATAACAACAACACCATTAACAGCAGCGATGACAACAACAAGGACCGTACAATATGCAAACAGTAGCGAGCAGTAGCTGAACTTTGCTCACAACACTAATTGTAATTTAATTTCCAATTAGCAAACAAACTAATTCTAAAATTCTCGATACGACAACCATAACAGCAATGACAATAACAACAATAACAACAATTACAATAAACTAACAAACAAAAAAATTACAAAAGATAGATAACAAAATAAAACACAATAAAATGCAATAAAAAATGATACTAACACGTACACAAGCTTCACTTCGGATACAAGACACAGCACAACACAGTACAGCATATAACACAACACAGCTGAGTTAAAGTTGAAAGAAATGGTAATGCTTAAAAAAGCAACAGCAAACACACACTAGCATATATATCAGCTTCATCAACAGCAATGACAACAACAACAAACATTAAAAGCAACCAAAGCCAACTAAAAATGCCAACTACACCCACAATCATAAACATGCTGAACATGTAACAAAACAAGACAAAATTCTGCATGATAGACATTATAACAAAAACAAATACAAAATAAAAACAAAAACACCAACAACAGTAAAAGACATTTAACTAAGTTCATATAGACCGCTTGCCTTGCGTTGTCTTGCCATGCCTTGTCTAGTTAGTGAATCAGGCTATGCTGCCACCTCGTACTTGTGTATGCTCGCTCGTACACAGAAAGAAACTATGTAGATTTGAATTCATTGTGTTCCCACAATTTTCACAATTCTCTTTTATTTTTATTTCTACTTTTTAATTTAATTTTTTTTCTTTTTCTCTTTCTCTTTTCCTGTGATTGTGTGTCTCTGCTGTCTTGGCGCTGTTCGATGCACGCAGCCTGTTGGCATTTATGCCAAGAAATACGAATGGGCCGCACGTCCTTCAAGCGGAAGCAATGGTTTGTCTTTGGACTTGCATCCGCCACCGATGCAGATTGGCGGTGACTGTTCATTGTGGATACGTTCGGCCACATTGGATTTTGATGATGGCCTCTGGGAGTGTCAGGTGACAGCAAGTGATTTTACAACGCAAGACGCTTTAACCAGTCAACCAGTGCGATTAGTTGTACGTGGTAAGTAGAGAAAATTTTTAGTTGAAAATAAATTTTATGTCAATGTTATGTTAAGAAAATTGCCATAAACATCCATAGCAGGGATAATAAAACAGACGTGAAATATGCTTATCCTGTTAGTTTCGGTTGGAAAACAGCGATTGATTAATATGCCACACATAAACCCAGAGCAAGTAAATATAGTTGCACCCGTAGTAATCAAATCGTGTATTATTGTAATGAAGAACATTGAAATTGAAATGCTTAGAATATATGCAAATATCAATATAGAATAGAATAAAAATAAACAGGGTACCAGCTCCCAATGGAACAGAGCACCGCGACCATAGTTGAACTTCAGTGCCGCAAAATATTAAGATATTGAAATATCAAATGGAGTAATATAAAACGATTTAAGTGTTTTTTTACTCAGTTGGAAATAATTATATATAATACTAATATTCACACAATATGAGCATAATTAACTGCTATTACCAGAGATTCATTATAATTAGTACGCAGTTATTACTAAAGTTAGTAGTTTCAGAAAATTTGCTTGATAATGAGAAGCCTGTAAACTAATATCAGTCATACTAGGCACAATGACCGCCCTACTTGATCTGTGGTTTTCCATTCCACTACAACCGGGTGATTTGGGTTCCATGCATTTTTGAATACATTTATCTATCTACCCATAAGAAAGTGTTTATAATGTATTAGATCACAAATATTTTATTCTTTATCTAATAGATGAAAAGAACCATTAATATCAAAATTAATTTAAATTATTTAAAAACAAAAGACTACCGTAATCGCATTACTATCGATAAGATATCTATAAATTTTTTCTAGGTGACATATTATTTTTTTCGAACGTCCACAGTTCATTTATTTTAACAATATACTTGAAAGCCATCGTCAATAAATAAACTTTTTCTGTTTATTCGATCTATCTGTAATAATACATAAACGAGACATAATATATATACATGAAAATACATTGATGAAATAAAAGAACAATTCCCGAGATCAGGAAGAGAATGATTTTCAATAAAGTTAAATACAGCAATCTCTCCTATAACTCGGTTCCCTTATAACGCGCTTTCATTTACGCATTTTAATCACCCGTATAACACGGGAATTCCCCCATATAATGCGGGGATTTATACAGTTCATAACTAGCTTCGCGTATCTTTGCACATGTTTATACGGGGTATACGGGAATACCCCTATAACGCAGAACCAATCTACTGCTCTATAAAGGGGATTACTGTATACCAATATTTCAACACATTAAAACTACGCATGTAAACATTTTCTTATTACGAATATTTTAATAAAATATTATACTTTGTTGACAATTTTAATTATTAACAAATCAGTTTGCTATCAAAGAAAATAAAGTTATTTGTCTTTTGACAAACTTTTCTCACAAAATAAATTTCATCTCAACAGTACTATTTCTGTTGACTCCATTATTAAAGGAACAACAATTGTCAGAAAGCTTCTAAAACGATCTTACTTTCGTCGGTATAATTCCATATACAATAGTGAATACACGAAAATCTTGTATATTTATTACATTCCTCTATCAGTTTTTTTACTCCAATTCTCTTTCATTTCTGATTTCATTTTAATGACAAGCATATCATATAGATTCGAGCTCAAAAAATTACCTCGACCAATTGCAAGTGCTATTCCAAACCAGTAGATTCACTTTGCTAATTCCAACAATTTACTTAATTACAATTACTTATAATAATTTCGTATGTTCTTAAAATAATACAAAACATGAAAACTGTAATCTCAGTTTCTTTTTCTATTACTACTATGAATTCAATCTTATTCATTTTATTTTACTTTAAAATAAATTATATGTGTAATAAAGATATGAATAGTAAAGTAAATATTATCCTCGTTCTTTTCGAGTCACATGAACCGGCATTGCATTCCTTTTCTCAGTAATCAAATTTTGCAGCATATTTATGTAACCACAAAAGCAATCTTTCAGCATTAGTCGAGTATGGCTGTGAGCAATTAACTTGGCTCTGATTACCAACACTGTGTTAAGTATAATTTTGTGTTTGCTGCACTGCATGTAGTTGTCCTCCAACAACAGACCATAAGCAATCTTCGAGATAGACTCCCACATTCAATATACCAACTACTGTACTAATTAGAATGCAATCCAGCTTTACGAAACAGACATAGATGCAATGCATGGCAATGTGCCATTTTCTCTAAATACAGTAAAAGCGTTACTATGACGGTACCTTCGTGTTATGTGGGAACTACATGACAATTATTACAGTACATGTCACCGCAAATTTCTTGCATTGTCAACCCTGCTCTGCTTTTTTTTGGCAACTTACAATTCGTTTGTACTATACTCTCGCATTACACTCTCGTACGTACTGTACTTTGATACGATAATTAAATACTAATACATACTCTGCTTGTCTATATTTGTTACTCTTGCAGTTGGACCGCAACGACCACGCCTCGAATACGAAGGTACTCATGTGCCACCAAGCCACAATATAACAGTCGACTCGGGTGCTGTGGCTACTGTAAAATGTGTTTCCCACTATGGTAATCCACCAGCCACACTCAAATGGTATCTAGGTAAGTGCAACATGTTATTTTCTTGGTTAATTGTTATTGTTATCGCCACTTTAATTATCATTTTACTTGCAATTTTAGTTACATTGGCGTTCCAGTTAGTGTCAATTATTTTCGCTTAAACTATAATTAAAAAAATGTAAACTCTATTTTTTTTAACAATTTTTTTTTGTTTTTCTACTTCTTAGGTGACAAAGAAATTGCGCCAATTCATCCGCAGACGAATAATACTGAACCGGACAATACACGCACTTGGTCTGCTACGTCAGTAGTGCAGATATCAGCTATGCGTGAACGTCATGGCGATATATTACGTTGCTTAGCCTTTCATGAATCCTATTTAGCCAAATCGGTGGCAGTGGAAGCACGTATGGACATCAAATGTAAGTCTGCACTTATTGCAATGAAATATACATGACATTAAGTATGTAGGGTTAAGGACATTATAGTTCAGAATTCAGTTACTTGCTTTTAAAAAGGGAGTAAAAAGTAGTTTCCAACAGCTGAACAACATTTAAGTAGAAAATTACTTAATGATAACTACTTGGAGTTAATGTATTTATATATATTTCATATTATCTGTAGTTTATTTGACATAAAGGACATAAACGTATAGTATACATATATAAGTGAAATGAAATTAAATTGAATACTTTATAAGCTAGTTTACATTTGCTTTCAAAATTTTTTAATAATAAATATCTAATAAATAATAAATATCTAATAAAATATCTAATAAAATAAATATCTAATAATCGATTCATATTTAGAAATTATTTCAAATCATTAGTATATATCCCTCTTTTAAGATCTATAAAGGCTCCCACTTCTATAATATTTATCGATTGTGTCTGTTATTATAGATTCTTCTTTAAGATGTAAACAAAGAAGTGCAGTTTTGATTTGTTTGCACTATTATACCATTTATAAGAGTATATGGGCAAATCTTAGCCCATTTCTTGTAATCGCTCTACTACAAAAGCAATTTATTTCACAATATTTTTAAGACTATTTCAGTATAATATTGTAGACTTTATTATAATGGACTATGATTTGCATTTTATAATATTTGTAGTATTATAATATTTTATACATATTGTTATAACTATTATAACGAAGTATATAGAGCCCTCTTTAAAAGCTCTATACATTAATATTATATTAGTATTTAAAAGCTCTATACATTAATATTGTATTAGTTTTAAGAATTGATTTTAAAAATAAAGTTAGTCTTAAGTAAACTCGTCTTGCGAAGTGACTAAATATAACACATATACTTATATATATACGTATATATATGATTTGCATTTTATAATATTTGTAGTATTATAATATCTTATACATATATGTTACTTATATATATTTATATATATATATATATATATTCTAATATATGAATCAAAAATAGTTTTATGTATACGATAAGAATTAACAGTGGATTGCTATAAAGACGCAGTATTCGATTAGCTCTAGATTATATTACACCAAATACACATTATTTCAGCACAATTTAATAAAATTATTATAACATTATGAAAATTCTATAAAAATCGCTATAAAATACGGACTTGACTATATAATATATTTAATTAAAAACTCATTTCAATAATTTGTATCTTGTTTTAGACATAACACGCTAATAAAATTAAAACTAATTTGATTATAACTGTGGCAGATATTTTAAAACTATTTATATTAATATTTTAATAAAATTAAAGCTTAATAAACCTCATCTAATTAATAAGAAGCTTCAATTTCAGACCTGATCCCAGTTTTGTACGATATTCTGACTTTTCTAGAATTAATGCATTTTTACGTAATGCATATGTATATACATGGTTTAGTTTAGTAATAGTTTTTTGAATAATCAAACAATTTTAATGAGAGGATATGAAAATTCTTATGGAAATTCTAAACTTTTTTGATGCGTTATGCATTTTATGGTCACCATAATATATATATATATATATATATATAGGTATAAAGATAGATACTAATTTTGATCGTTGAAATGATTTAGATTGTGTATCCGTTTTGGCCCATTCGGTGTCTCCTTAATTAGACCATAAGACTCTTCAAACACCGAAAATATTACAGTTCACAATAACTCTCTACAACTCTTATTATAGTCTTTTAACCTCAGTGTTTATTCTCTTCTATGATTCACTACGTCAATCATCGAAATATTTCAAAATATAATTGTTTTCCTTTTTACAAATTAAATCTCTTCTAAGTCCCACTTCTTAATAAATATTCTTAATTACACTTACTTTATTTAAAGACAATTTCCAGGCCAAAGCAACTGCTTAAATTGTTGTGTACTTCCCTTAAAGGCCATCAAAGTATCTAAGCTAATGCTTGCCAAAGTTTAAATTAATCAAGAGGTTCAAGCTACATAAGTTTGCATTGCTGCACAACATTTCAATCGAAATATTTTCTGACAGAATAGAGAAACATTTTAATCCCATCAAGAAATATTTGTAAAGCAAACCCAAATCAACATCGAATTAAAAATGAGTGAAAAATGAAGCACGTGCAACTAAAAACAGCCTTAAATATAGGCCTTTTCCTTTTTACTGCTTCTATAAAAAAATCTTCATAGAGCGAATAAATAAATATTTTTATTTCTCGGGAAAGTTTTAATTTTTTCCTCTTCCTTTCGGCTTTTAGCTGTGAACTAATGCAATTTGTATATTTTCAATTTTCCGCAAATTCAATTAGTTTAATTTCTTATCAACGTAATTCAGATTTTTATCATAATCACTTCCAACAGCAGCGCCATTCGGTATTTCCCTCAAGATACTACAGATACAAATTTTTATATATTTTTTACGTGTTCCTTGTGTGCTGTGCTATATCAATCCTGCTCAGAGTAGATTTAATTAAGCTTAAAGTCAAAAGTAATCCAACGTTTTTGCATCATTTAAATTAAATGTAAATGCCTTTATTTCATTTCACATCGTTTACTTTATTTTATTTTGATTTAATACTGCTGGCTGTCACGATTTCACGATTTCACAATGTTGTTGTTGTTCTGGTTACTCCTATAGATGCACCAACTATACGTTTAATTGGCTCGCCGGAAATCGACCTGGAGGAAGATAAAGATGCGCTTATACTGCGTTGTGTTGCAGATGCCAATCCGCCAGCGAGCATCGTATGGCGACGTGCAGGACGTTCGGAAATTGCCAGTTTACAGGTAAAACAGAATTTTATGATTTACAATGCATTAGTGCCAACTTTTAGCATTATCCTCGCCCAATTCCATAGACACCACCCACCACTGCTCTAGTCAAAAACACCAACCTCAGCCTCTTTCTAATATAACTTCACTAAAACGTACCAGTAATTTCTGTTCACGAAATGTAAATTATTTTGATTTCATTTTATTTTCCAGGAAACATTGCAGCTACGCCCAGTCGGACGTCGCGATGCAGGCTTGTACACCTGCCAAGCACAAAATTCTGTTGGCACATCGGAGCAACTTTCTGTGCAGTTGGATGTGAAATGTGAGTTTGTTTTGAAAGGCGCAATGCATCGAAAATAGATTTATTTTGCGCTTCCATTGTGCAATTTGAACTTTATTTACTTTGAAAACATTTTCTCAACATTTCACAGATCCACCGAAAATTATTTCAGCTGGTCCGGATCGTCTCACTACCGCGCCGCTATTTAGTCCTGCTGCCTTTGAATGTGTGGCTGATGGCAATCCTCTGCCTACATATAAATGGGTACAACGGTAAGTTCTGTGCAACTCTGTTCAGCGACGTTATATGGAAACTGAATGGAAATCCTTTTTCATTTAACTTTTTTGTACAATATCCTTAAAAGCAAACACTGTGCTTAAATCGAGTAGATATATATTTGCAAACTTAGACAAATCTTTGCATATCTGATAAGGTCCTTGCCGTATCAACGCCAGGACGCTTGTAATAAATATTCATTGACACCAATTAAATGTTAGAGCTTGAAGCAACTTTCACAAACAACAAACGTAATTTCGGCTAAAGCCACATAGACTGGGATGAGAAATAGGTATTCAATATTTACGATTTTACGAGGGATATGTAGTAAGATTTATTGCTTCATTGAAACGAAGTTGCTTAAGATATTAAAAACACCAATTATTTCAATTTTATTTAACGGATAGTTTTCTTTAGTAGAGGTTTTATATTCTTCTTAGGATGTAGAAAAAGTTATCTTAATGTGTTTATGTTAATTAGTTGTCAATAATATTTAACAGATTATTAACTTTAATACATAAGTTATATGTAATAAACGCCAAGTAATTTCGTCTTTTTAATAAATGGGGTAGAGGACTCTACCCCATGCAAACTTCACTCGCCAATCTCCGTTATATTCATACATACTTCTCCGTATTCAGCAATATGTATGTGTTTTTCACATTCTCGAGACGAGACGTCAAATTTTTTGAACAACTTTAAAAGTGGAACAAAATTTGATGTCCCTTCTAGAGAATATTAAAAGCACATACACATTCTTGAATATGAATAGGTAGTATAACGGGGGTTAGCGAGAGAAGTTAGCAGGTATTAGAAGCCTCTAGTTTATTAAATAAACGAAATTATTTTGTAAACTTTTTGTTGAATTTAATGAATTTTTGTTCAGTTTTTTTCTCTGATAAATATTCTATACGTTTTCTTAACTTTTCGATACGTTTTGAAACATAAATACGATCCATACTTTTTGCATTTGATTTTAGTTTTGTGAACGACGACGTTCTTTTCTCTCAGCATTAAGAAATAAATAACCCGTTATTTTTTTTTGGTTATTTAATAACCAAAATAAGGCTGAACCGCAAATTACCCCAAATTCCTAATTCCAGGATATTATATTCTTGAGGGAATTACCTTTATATTTAAAAGTTTTAAATATACATTAAATTTATTCCACAATTGTTCTAGAACTTGTAATGAAATTAGAGTTGACCAGCTATATCTGTGTCTTATATATGTTCATTAGTTCAGAAAACACTAAGCACGTTCAAAAATTCTTGAACAGAATTAAATTTTATAATATATTTTATTAAATCATGCTTACTATACATAATAATCACTTCAAGTTAATTTCTAACAAAAGATGCCTTGATTAAGGAAAACATCAAACAATCTTCGTACCTTATAATAATTTAAATTCAACGATATGGAGATGGATTGTTGAATAAAAATGACCGGGTAGCGGAACTTTTCATTAAATTTTATGGAGGAGGTACTTTGAGTTATACTTTGTGCTTGTATGTGTGTGTGTGTGTTTATATATATGTATGTGTCGACAACAAACCGCATTCACTTTGTGAGATATACGCCTTCCGTCATTATTTGCCTGCCAAAGAGCCAAAATCGCTGAAGGGCTTCAAATGCGCAACGAACTGCAAATTTCCATTTACATAGAATCAACGCGCTTTTTGCTGCTCTAAGCTGTCTTCTGCCATTAGTTCGTGACAACAATTTTTTTTTCTTATTCAAAATTTTTGTTTTTTTTTTGATTTATCTACGCTGCCCTGCTATTGAAATACTCTCTTTCAGCCAACACCCGCCTTTAGACTTTACTCTAAACTGACGCTGATGGTTCGTTAACCTTTCGTTTGTCTCTCTATATATCGGCGGTTAGAGCGAGCTTATGTGCCATAGAACTGAATTCAAAAAACACCAGAAGAAGAAGAAGAAATTTTGTGCACCACAGCATTTCCGCTAAAACATTTTCTTTTCAATTCAAAATTCCGGCGACTTTGCCTTGTACATTTCAAAATTTCAACACAAACAAAACGTGAAATGGCACCACGGATATATAATGGAAATATGGAAATTAAAGGGCTTATTCTCGTGTTTAGCCACTTTTTACATAGTTCCTACTATATCAAGATGTTTACTTAGAATTTAAATGTTCATATTTTGATTTATCTGATGCTAATATAGTATTGCCATATTTCATTATAGTATTTAGAGTATTATCACTTGCTGTCGGTATATTATTCGAACAATATTTTAAATAAAAAAACTAACCAAACTTTTAAAAAAAATAAATTATATCATATTTATGCTCAACATATATTTTTAAATTAATATTTTTTATCCACACTTAAATAAATACCTATTCTGTTTTATTCTATTAAATATACTATTAAAAGAAAAACTTGGAGAATTTATAAATTATAACTAAATTTCAAACAATTTTTAAAAAATTCGAATTATTTAATTATATTATTATATTATAATAATTAATATAATTATAAAATTGTGATTTTATATTTATTCGTCTATAATCTTCTGAATATAATTAAACCACACACACTGAACATAATATCTTTTATTTTTTAATACTTCCTACATTTAATTGAATTAATTTCAGCTGGTTTATAGGTCGTATGAGTAACTTTTTGCGTACGGTACAAAAGCACTAAACACACAAAAGTACACCGCTTAAATAATTCTATTTACATAAACCATATAATTTTTCACACACAATATTAGCTTGTGTGTATTATCTGCAATTCCCGCTGCTACCCCTTTAATCCACAGCAAAGCCAAGATGACTTCAACTTTGCACTATTTTACTTCTTATTACACATACATGAAGTTATAGGAACAAGCACAAGGAAGAGCAATTGTACAAAAGAAAATATACACATACATACAAATTAAATTAATCAAAATAAAGCAAAGATAAAAAAGTTAAAATAACAATAACAGTGCTGGTTTCACTGAAAGCTAATGAGTTTTTCTTTTATGCAATATATTTTTATTTTCTGTGTAATTTTGTTTTTGGATTTGTTACTGCTTGTACTCGCACGTAAAAAGAAACATATAAACACATCCCTTTCCCGCTAACGTTTCCTATTATTGTTAGTTCCACTGTATTTTTCATTATTATTATTGTCGTATTGTCTTTTGTTGAGAGAAGTTCATATAAAGACACATGCAGCAAGCAATGCCAGTGTCGTTTTAATTAGTCGTGCAAGAAATTTTTTACAGAAATATTTAATGAAGGAAAAAGAGTAATAAGAAGAAAAAATTGCATTAATTGTTTGGGTTGTTTGCGTGTTACATCGGTTGGCATTGGTACGGTTGAGAGTTGGTTTGGCTGTTGCTTGTTAGCTACCGCTACACTGCTTAAAATGTTATACGGCTTTACAGAATTGTCGCTGGAAAATTATTACCACCAACGCAGTTAATTAGCATGCAAGGCAGTAACAAGAGAGCACCCAAAGGCATTCATTTTCTTGTATTTCGTTTTCGTCTTCTCAATTATTTTGCAGTTTATTATTTTGTTTTTGCCTTTTTTACTGCCACTCTCATTGTATCATGTTTCGTATACGTGCGTGTAGTTATTTTGCTTTGTTTCGCTGTGTATAGGAGAGTATGCATTGGAAATGTATGTGCACTTATACATTGACTTCTTGCGGTTTTGCTTACTCGCTCAATGAAACGTTTCTCGTACTCGTATGTATTTGTGTATAAATCTTTCTACATTCTTTGAATAAAAACATAAGCAATTCCATATAAATTCAGGAAGCATATCGAAGTGTTGACTTAATGAAGAGCGTGTTTATCAGAAATTAAATGTCAATTTTCTTCTGGCAAAAAATGTATTAAAAAAAAATGCTGATAAATTTGGTCCAAATCAACATGTAATGCAAATGTAATTGGATTAAGGCAGAATTATGACCTGAGTCTTTGTAATCAAAAAAAATTAACTTTAAATAATATAAAAATATTCTTAAAACAGGGTAACCATCAAAAAATAACTAATCCTCAATGTCTTTTATTAAAGTAAATCACGGAAATAATAAAAATGATCTGATTACAAAGTAATATTTAAATATTTATAAATATTACAATAAAAAAAATAATAATAAAAAACAGTTAGTAGAAAACACTACAAATATTAAGAAAACTTTAATTTATTTTGCTTAAATTTTAAAATTAATACTTCACTCCACCTATGCATACACTCATACTCTCCTTAACTCAAGGATATGCGTTAAATTAAACGACAGCGACAGTGCTAAATAGCAGCACTAAAAACAATGGTATGACAGCATTAAATAGTAATATAATGTAGTATACCAAAGGTCGGTAGAGACGTTTCATAGGAACGTGTTAAGTACTGCTCTTATTTTGTTGAACTTTTGACATTTGCCTACTATACTATGTAACGAAGAAACTTTGTCAATCCCAAAAATATATGTACCACAAAAATGTTCTTTCGGGCCCTCACTACAGTAAGCGATCGGTTATATAAACTAATTAGTACGTGAACTATTCATATTATAAACCACTATTCATGCTATAAACCGCTATTCACATATACTGACATTCAATTAAGTATATGTTTTTATTTCTTTCAATCATGTGAACCATGTATTATAACATAATATGTTGCCACGTTCTGAAATATCATATTCTATGTATAAATAATTAAAATTATTAAAAATGCCTATCTAAATAAGGTATTGTCCTAAATAATTTAAGTGCAAGCGATTTTATATCTTTTCTCTAATTTACTTAAATTTATAATAGTTGTGTCGTAAAATATTATTTATGCTACAAAGCCACCACTCTTACACGCACTAAATTAGAATGTCGGGAATGGTTTATAGTAGAATTTGTTATTATTAGTAATATGGCAGTCCCAACGATTAAGCAATTTATACCTGAGATTTAATCAGATACTATGGGAATATCTCTCATATTCTTATTCATTACTCGTACTTGTCAACCATCTGGTTTCAACAATAAACGTTACAAATTTATTAAGAAACCTTATTTTATTAACCATATCTCTTCTGCAAATTCTCAAAGTAGAAATTTCATAAAAATTTGTACATTATTCCTAGCTATTTGTGTCAGTATAATATCGCTCTTACTTCCTAGTGTTTTAAAATAAACCCAGTCGTTGGCGACTGATTCAGATTCTATCAATTCTGCGATTTTCAGCACTCCTCATTTCTCTGTAAGTGTATATATGACTGTGCTACCATCTGACTTTCTAATAGTGTGGGAAATGACTTCATTGTTGGATCACTATTGCAGTACGACGTTACAGAAAATTTTGAAAATGTCGTCTTAATAGCCTTATTAGTAGTATCCAAGCTAGACTATTTGCTAGAATTAAACAAATTCACAGAACTATAATTTAAGTAATATGTTCTAACATAGTAGTGGATATTATTATACTTTAAAATTATTAGTTGACTTTATAGTGTTTCTTGTGATGATATTGCTGCTAGGACTAAGAAGAATTTTAATAAAAATCAGCTACTGCTTGTATAAAAAACGTTCACAGTTTTGCGTACTTAAAATGGTATATTCTTTAACAAGTCTTATAAATTCAACCATATTCAAGTGATTAATATTATTAAATTTATAATGACCTTATTAGTGTTTTTAAGTTCCCCATATCATAGTCCTACATGTACTTGAATCAAATGGTATTTTGTATATGAAATGGGAAATCACATTAATGTCATCGAAGTTATTCTGTATGTCTTTCTTAAACAAAAATATACTATATGTGGTGGTGTACTTATCCAATAAAAGTAAGTAAAAAAACTTGAATACTTTTTAGCATTGCAAAAGATACTCACAATATTATTATGTATGATTATAAATTTGAAATACTTTTTACTTTTTGCAAATGCCTTTTTCAATACACAAGTAAATAAACTGTAAAGTACGACTATAAATAAAAATCCTTTCCCATATAATATGTTCCTTTAAAAGATTCTATATTGGCTTGGTATGCTGTCTTGCATATCTATCTTTATTATGTTGCATATTTCACAACCAATTTGCCAGCAACTTTTGAAGCATTCATTTTCTTCAACATTTCATACGAGTGCGAATATATATGTGTGTATCCATAACTGAAGTATCTGTGTAATTCTGAGAATTGATAAAAAGTTTTATGCTGCTGTTGCTGCTCAATTGCCATTTAATTTCTATAGCAACAGCAGCAGAAGTTAAAAATGTAAGAAGAAGAAATTAAAAATGGAAAAAGCAAAAAGAATCTTTAAGAAAAACGCATTATAAATATAAAAATTAAAAGTTTTTTATGTGTGCCAGACAAAGCCTCATGTGGCAACTATTAGTGTGCGGAGCTGCCAGATGAAAAAAACTTTTCTTCATTTTTGCTTAAGTTCTGCGTGCTTTCAACTTAAATTAAGTAGAAATCAAAGCACCTTTTCCGCTTTGTTGCTGCTGTCAAGTATATTGCTAGCAATGTTGCTGCTGTTGTTGCTTTTCTTTAGCAAATTTTACTGTCATTCTTATTTACGTGATTTGAAATTGCAATTTTTCAATTTCATTCGCTACACACTAACACAATTACAAACAAACACAGATACTTTGCTCTGAGAGCGTGTGTGTGCGGGGCTTGCCACATATCTGTACAGTAATGAGATAAAATTAATGTATAAAATTTGTCTTGTTGCACGTCAGGGATTTACAACTCAGAAGTCATTTAAATGTTGGTAACTTAATTGATGATTTCAGTTTTATGAGAAATGTAAGGAACGACGGAAAGCATGTGAGCTCTCAAGGCACTAAAGTATTATTCGACTTAATTAGCTACTTTTTGATGGATATTCAATCAAGTTACAGACAACAAACAATATTTTAAATAAAAGCATTTTTGACTTATTATTCATACCAATTATTTAAAACGAGAATATTAGAATTGTAGTGGATATACAGACATCTCACCAAAGAGAAGGCTTGGTTTCCAAAAAGCGAGAACAAATAAAAATAATAATAATGAATTTACAAAAAACGTAATAATATTTGTCCAAATAGTAGTTAATAATAATATATAATTGTTATTAACTTAGTAGAAGATATTTTATTAAATTATTTTTAAAGCATTTTTTAATTCTTGGAATTGCAATATTCTATTAAACAAAGCATTATATAGCTTACAAAAGAGTACTTTGATAAAAAAAATTTTTCAGACAATAAAACTATCTATTTTTCATATATTTCATATATGTTACCTTATATCTTTCTACTGCTTTTATCGCATATGCAATTCTGCTCTACAAGTGCATCTATTTCGCCTTCAATGTGTAATTTTTACAAAGTAAATAGAAGACAAAAAATGCATACAAATTTTAATATTCCGATTTAATATTTCTCATGTGATTTTCATCTACTCTTTGTTGATGCATGTTCTCAATGATATTACGAGTATTATTAATATTTTTATACTTTCTTCATCGACAAGATACTACACAAGCTACAGAATTATTGATGAAAAGCATCGGATTCTTGATGAGACAGTCTTTCACTGAACGTGCCATAGAAGCAAACATAATAAATATTGCTTTTTTATGCAAAAGATATTTACGCACTGGTGATTGTTGCAAGTAGATTTAAAATTTATTGAAGTTGCAATGAAAGAAGTTAAACGTTTATGGCTGCAAATAGAGAAATGCAATGCAAAAGAATCAACTTTATTATCAACATATAAATCTTTGAATAGAATTCAATTTGTGCGTTGATATAGTATGTAGAATAACCGCAGATTTCTAAGAGATTTGAAATATTTCATTTGAAAGAAATCTCATTTATTTTTTGCCTTAATGAAACTCAGTAAAACAGAATTTTAAATTTAAGAATTGTTCTTTGCAATGGCAGGTCAGTAGATATCCATCAACTTTCCGAAATAAGTAATTATTCGTAGTTTTTATTTAATAATATAAAAGTTAAAAAGAATTTAGAACTTAATAATCTTAATGATATTATCAAAGACAAAATCTAACAAAGGTATTAAACAACAAAAAAGTACACTTTACAAACCATTACAAACTGTTATTGTCATATAATAACCCGTAACCGTAACTCGCCCATTATCTACCAAATATTTTAAATAGATTTCTTTAATTATATAGGGTTATTAATCTTGTTGTTCTGATAGTAAACGTTAATTAACACGTTATTCAAGTAAATTGTTTGAACCTTGCCCTTAACGAGGGAGTACAACATTATTTACGTGTTCTTCACGGAACATTTTATAGTACTATATATCCCAATCATATTATCAAGACGTCATTATAATATTCACACTCAAAATATCTAAAACAGAACGTTATAAAACAGAACGAACTTATGGCAACGTCTTGGTGAAACTACATCACTATTACCACAATGTTTTCATTTTCACTTTAAAAAAAATTTAGTAATCCGATTGTAACGATTACAATTGACGTTTTTATCACATGATCGTCCTATTCAAAAACGTAACAGGCCATCAGATATTCAGACTAAATACTACACCACAGAGTGAGTTTTTGTGAAGAGATGCATAGGTCTGCTTTCCCTAACCAGATGTTACACTTTTGTTTATCGACATATTAACTAAATGAAAAATAAGCCTTTTTACTGCAGATGTAATCGATGCGAAATGTACCTACCCAAAATCGTCACATCTGTTGATATTTACATAATTAAACCACTTTCAACGATTGTGGTTTAATTTTTATTTTTACAAAAAAAGAATCCATTTCATAAAATGACAATCCTTAAACAAAACGTGTAGGACCTTGGATGATAATTCAGTTTATCATATCTCCCTGAAACACTGCTACAAAATAAGAACCACGAAAAGCTTTTAGTATAACTATTGTATCTGCATAGTATTATATTATGCAAATGAAAGTTATTATAAAATTTTTTTAAATGCTAAATAAAAGTTTTTCTATTTTAACATTTAAATAAATAACTTTATGTGAACTAACATCCTTCATAATTTCTTCCTACAGGTTTTCACGAGGGGCTAAGTATGTTGAACGTGGTCATGAATCTCGTTTAGTAATAGATAATGTAACATACGATTATCAAGGAGATTATGAATGCCGAGCTACTAGCTACATTAATGGACAAGAAAGAGTTGCAGTATCTGAACCAGTATCACTGCAGGTTGTAGGTAAGTAACAAAATATTTACTTCGAAATTAATTTAATTAATTAATTAATTAATTTACTTCGAAACTCTAAATTAAAATTTTATAACCCATGACAAAAACCTGTTTCTTTGTTAAATTTAAAAATTTAACTTCAAATGAAATTAGTTCTTAGCTCATATATGAGTTGTTGTAGCTGTATGAGTTCTTGAGTGCTTAGCTACATGAGTTCATATAGCCATATTTAAAATCCTACATACTTATAATCCATAACTCAAGTTAAACTTTAGTACATTTGTATAAATTAGAATAAAATAATAAAAATTAATAATTTCTAATAAGAAGTTTTGAAGTTTCAGACCAAAAACTTTCCATTTATTGAGAATATGAGTTCTACATATCAATTTACTATTCAGGCAAATTCCTTAGTATTTTACTACAACCTGTAAATTGCATAGAATTTTTGTATTGTATAAAATTTTTTGTGACTTGCCAACCAACTAGATTATCTATTAGTAAATTGTGGCCTGGACGGAGTTGGATTTTATCCACAGATCGATACAGGTAACGTACATCTACAGTTTTTCAGTTGCTTTGCTTGGAAAACTATCAATGGATAAGGCTACTGTATGGCCCCCAAATATGTCCATCACATGTGCTTTATTAAGTGGAAGGTTTACTACACACAAGAGATATAGCATTGGTCTTACAATGCTACGTTGAGGTTCCGCAGCTTCTACAGTATGAAATTATATAATCTCGTTGCCATTTTTAAATAAGAGTGCTTTGAGAATAGATATGATTTTAGAAGTATGATGTAAATAATCTGTAATAATTGTAATAATTACTCTTGAGAAGAAGACTTTTATGGCATAACGGGAATGCCTATATATTTATGAAATATCTATAAATACGTTTTATATTCATACGCTCAATGGATTTTTCCGCTTAGTCTATAAACTTACTCAGAATTTGTCTATTCACTTCAATTGTCAGTGTAAAACGTTTGGGGAATAATAATTCTATGACTGTCGATAGCAACTGATGTAGATTTATTTAGTGATTTGATATATTGTCGATTTTTTCGCGGTTTATGTATCGCAGATATTTATGATATCTTTTACTGTGGAGAATTAAAGCCCTTTTATATTATATAACGATATTAAAAGTGTGGGTTAAAGATATGATTCAATTAGTGATAACTGGTGTAATACCTTGCCTTATGATTAAATCGAAATTTCATTTTATGCCAAGCTCTTTATATAAAAACGGACTTTTTATATTGTTTTAAAGTTGCAAAAATTTCTGATAGGTGTGTACTTTTGAGAGCTGTATCTTTAATTAAATATTAAAGATACTTAAGAAGCAAAAGTGAACAAAAAGCATTAAAATCTTATAGAAATAATTTGATGGGTATTTGAAACTCTAAAAATATTATAGTAAAACGTTTCTTTATCTAAGCTTTCTCTAATCGATGCCGTACCAAACTCACAACTGCTGCAAAATTATACCAAAGTATTTTCCATTCTAGATTAGGCATTCTAAATGTTTATAAGTTTAATTTAATGTTGAAAACTACTTTGCCCTTTTGATAAAATAATAAATTGATAGAGAAAAATATATTATAAATATACATATGTATAGAAATTCTTTATTAACCCAAAAGAGTTTCAAACATTTGAAACGGCAATCCTTGATGGTCTCTACGGTGTGTAAGCGGCACTTACTGCGTTGCAATTCTAAGCATCTGAACTATTTAACACTCCTTTACTTCAATACCAGACTAACCACAAAAAAGATAAACAAATTTGTTACTCAAGTACAAATAAAGTGAAAAATTTTTAAATTTACTACTGAGCCGCTAAACGCACATAATTTATAACCAACAAGAAGCAGACCAGCATTCCCACAAAAAAAAACTTATAACATAAAAAATATAAAACAGGTGGCAACTCCAGTTATTTGTTTGTATATGAGTATATACATGTATTAAGTATTGGTTGTGTAAAACAAACAGAGAAAAATTTATCTAAACATACGAAGTGTATCCTTTACCTCCATCTCCTTTGGGAATAACTAACAGGAAAATAAATTTTCTGCTCAACTGACCATGTACGAGTATGAAGTTAAGTTGAGTTGTTGTTGTTATTGTTATTTGTAGTTGTTACTACAATTTGTTGTTGTTGTTACTAACCACAACTTCTGGACTATCATATTTTTCTAATTTTATTCTTCTTCTTATTATAACTACTAAGCTATAGCTTTACATAGATATAAGCTTGAAAATCCTTTTAAGCAAAAACTACAATAAAAAATGTTTGGAGCTCATTTATTGCACGGTAGGGTGAGGAGTTGAAAGTTAAAATATAAGCAACCGCAATGTAGCATAGAAGTTACTGCATTTTGTATCTTTTACTTTTCTGTGCTTACGAATTGCTGTTACTCGTCTGCGACTAAAGGTGCTCAGCATAAACTATTGCCATTGCAAGTAACATTTGCAGCATGGCAATGAGCTGAGTTGCTAACTTACAGTTTACTCGTTGCTGGTTGCTGGTTGCCGGTTGCTGGTTGCTACCATAAATTTATGCTTGTCATTGGTTTTTACTGTTGGAGGACGAGCATATTTGAATTTAAATTTTAAATTCTTTTCCTTTTTTATTATCCACAAAGCATTGGAAGGCAAAAGTCTCCTTCAAAAAGTATTAAAATAATCTTTGAAAAAAAAGGAACAGCAATTGTGCAAAATTAAAAGACCAACACTACAGCTCGTTAACTTGTATTGCTCAAATGATTTTAATGGCTTTCAGTAAATACTGTACATGATTTAGCTGCAATTTGTAGCAAATCCTTATCTCGTTAAAGTACACAATGAAACTGTTAAGAAAATATTTTGTAATTTTTTTCCACTTATCCATTAATTTACCTTTGCCGTTTGGCTTAAGCTGTACACCTACAGCAACTCACAAATGAGTTTTTGATTTAGATACACTGGCAGCAACGCAGTTCAATGGCAACAAATCTTCCAGCAACAACAGCCACTGCAGCAGAAATGCAAAATTGCATTTGCTCAACTCCAATCTGCAGTCAGGTTTGTTGCTGGTAGTGGTTTTTGCATCCTGGCGATGACTATTTATTCTTTTGTTTTACTGAAATTTACTACAAACCACTGTTCACTGCGTTCTAGTAAAACTACAATTTAATATAGTATATTCATTTATTTTTAATTGGTTGTTTCTTTTTGCTGTTTTCAGGAGCACCGCAAGTACTACGCCTACATCCTTCATTGCATACAGTTTCCATTAAACGCGGAGAACCAGCTAGTATGTCACTGGTTGTGTGTGCTGATCCACGTCCACATCGTGTAGCTTGGGAATGGGGTTCATTGCGATTGGAGGCTGGCAACGGAATCGGTAAGATATACAATCTAACTATCACATTAAAAATTCCTAAAAATTATTAGAAATTGTATTTGCAGTTTATAATTGATATATTAAATCAAATCTTATGTTATACCAAGGATTAGCAATTAAATCTGCTTAAAAAATTACTGTATAACTCACATATATGTTAACTATGGTATTTATATACCATATAACACATAATGCAAATTTTACAAATACCTGGCTTTATTCCCTTCAACTCAATACTACCATCGATATTTTCACATATGTATTAAAGATGATATGTATAATATTTTTATGTAGATAATATGATAATATATTTTGACGAAAGTTTAGACTGAAGAATGCTAATCAGTCATTATTTTCTATAGAACACAATCACCACGACGGTCAAAAAATAATTTTATATATATCGAGTGTTTTTTAGCTGCATAAGTACTTAAATTAATATTACAAGACCCAAACATTGTTAAATCTGGTTGATAATTTCATGGCATTTATTTCCTGTTTATGATTTTCGGCATATGTACACCGGGGCTACGAGTTACATGGTCCATTCGATCAGTCCAATTTTTAAAAATTTTTTGCAATAAATGTGGTCGTGTGGCGTCAATGGTAGTATGAACATTAGTTTTCGGTGCTTCAGGAGTTGCTTGTTTGTCAGCATAAATCAATGGCATAAACAGTAATCCTTAAAGAGAGACGTTAAATCGCACTAACGAGGGGCCAATTAACACGACCACTTCTGAAAATAAAGTTGTTACCAAACTGATTTTGCAACAAATCGATTAAGCCAGATGTTAACAGCACCAAACAATCAATTGTTGATGGTTTCGAATCGGGCAGAGTAAAATAAGTGCGAAATCGATCAATAACTGCACAAATTGCTTGCTCAGTATGCCGATTATGTAGAACTCCCTGTGCTATAGATACAAATTTGTCATTTTAAAAAACTTTAAAACGTTGGCGATATAAAATGAAAACTGTCTACAATTTTTACGCTATTTTTTAATTTTCCAAATTTTTTTATTCACTCAAGCCTTGACACAGTAAACTTTAGACTTAACGTTCATCAACTATTGTATGTTATGTTTCCAAACTTGAAAAAATGAATCAATAGAAAGAGATTTTGTTCAAGCTATGCAATTTGTTTTTCACTCTAAGGCAAATTTAATCATTTAAAAAGCTTTAGAAAACTTGGAAACATTAGCAGGAGTTTATTAAACTATAGAAAGACTGTTTGAAAGTAAAAGACTCGAACAATACACAATTAATAAATAATGTTGTTTCATCTCTAATGAAAACCAAAGAAACCAGTCGTACGATACAATAGAGAAACTATGTAGTCGTGCTCGCCCAGCACCGATTGAAATCACTTTTCAACAACTGTCATTGTAGCTATGACTAAAATGAACAAGAGGAAAGTATCACTCATCTCCTCTATCACAACCCAGCATTCATCAGAAGACGTGTATCTCTCTTAAAGTCTCTCTTCGTGGTCTGTTTGATATATCAAGTATTAAAATTAAAAGCGTTGATCGTTTCTTTAAATTAAGTATTGCTATCCTGATCATGAATAGCTCCCTTGGCACAACTAACATGTTCCTAAAATTAGGGTATGAGACCACTTAGAAACCCTAAGTTAGCTAAGTATTGTTTTGGCACATTTGGAAATACATTATAGCAAAATCTAAATCAAATAAAATATTACCATAGAAATAAACCCTTGTATACATCAGAACTAAATATTGAACTAATTTTTGCGAAACCTGGTAAAAAAGTGACTCAGACTCTCACTTAAAAAAATTCTCTAAAAAATATTTCAAAAATACTCGGCTAAATGATTTTAACAATGTTTTTCAATATTTTTGCGAAAACATATTCAAAGTTTCGATCAAGGCTAAACAAACACTAAAAGCTCCACAAAAAAGGATTGCATTTTGTTTACATTCTCAAAAAGATTCAATGATGTAGTAACAATGAAAACTACAATAATAAAAAGAACCTAAAAGAAAAAGTAATAAAAGCCAAAACAATAGTTTCGAGCCACAAAAAAGGTACTCATCGACTGCACTTACCTTACCCCATTTGTGGTTTGTATTTAGCGCACTTCACAACTGATTTTTCCTCCGCCACTACAGTTGCGAAAGGAGTCTGCTTAAAACTATACATCGAACTTAAGGATGCTTATTGACCAAACACACGCTTGCAGGCTCTAGTGTTGTGCTAAATTTTGTATACGTATATGCTTCTCGGTAGCTCGATTACTAGCGCTGCATATATCATCTGAAACGTAAAATATTTGTGTACACTAGCATAACTCATACGTGTCCTTTACGTATCCTTTGCGCGTTGCAATATTTGCATTGCTATGTCGTCCTTCTAAGCAATGGCGCTCCTTTGCCACTGGATGCGTTCAACTGTTATAAATATTTTTTGCTCGTTTTAACTATATGGATTTTTTCGTGATTTTCGATTTTGTTCCTTTGGACAGCGTTCCGCACGTAACAGCACTTCAGCAATCCTGTGAAGCACTGGTACTCTTTATTTAAACAAAAATTTCGTTTCCGTTTTCGATTTATTCAAGCATCGATTTCGTTGTTTTGTGGCTTTCAGTTTTCGCAGCTAAAATCGCAGCGCGGATTTTTAGCTTTTGTTCTTGTCGTATTATCCTTTTTGGTTGGCGAACGTTGT